ACATATAAAAATTGTATGTTGTTGAGATCTCGCTTCCTTAAAAGAAATCATTGTTTTACCAGATACAAATACAAGTTTAAACATGTCATGTTCTCGTGTGATAAGCTTTGATGGCTAAATTCTAATGAGACAGATTTTTCCTTTTTTGAAAGCATTTGCCATTCTAAATAAAGTCTTGAAGGACAAAGTAGTTTGATTTGTAGAATACAAAGATTTCCAAGAATTCCTGCATCACATCAAACTTATAGTAATATCGTTAACATTATTATTTATATTTATGCGTTTATTACACGTTTCGTTATGCGATACATCAACCTTAAAATAATCGATACTATTAAGATAATATAAAAAATAAAAAAAAATAAATAAATAATAAATAATTTAAAAAATTACCAAATTATTATTCATCAATTAGATAATGAATCATTGTACGAAAATCGGCCAATTCGCCGAGAGATACAGCGATTTTTGCAATAGTCCCGAGAATAAGGATTCACCTTGGGTATCATCCCCTTCTATCATTACATCAGCACCTACCCTCGAGGCAAATGTTACAGAAATGATTAATAAAGCCTTCGAGGTTCTATATGTGCTAAATGATTTAAGGGATGAGAAAAATAGATATATACAAGTGAGAATTTATGAATGCACATATACACTTTATATTACCTTTGATTTTAGAGAGACTAATAAAATATATAAATAAATATATATAATATTTAAATAAAATATTTTAGAAAAATGAGATAGAACTAATCCGCAATAAGCGTACAAATTATGGGTCTTCTCCTGTACGACCAAAATATCGAAAACGAACAGTAAGTATATTAATTCACAAAGTTGAATATAAATAATTTTTTTAACAAAAAAAATTTTTTTTTTATAAATTCTTATAGAAACGGTCTGCCCTTCCAGGCAGATGCCATTCGTGTAATATTCAGGAAACACCTGAATGGAGACGCGGTCCCGATGGGGCCAGAACTTTATGTAATGCATGTGGTTTACGTAAGTTGAATTATGAAATTTATTAAAATGATTCAAATTTTTATTATTAAAATTATTAAAATTATTAAAATTATTAAAATTATTTATTAAAACTTTAGATTTTGCGAAAATGACTCGAAAACGAGCTCAGCTCGCATTACGCGAACAGCAAGCCATGGTGGATAATCCCATGCTTAATTCGTATGGTCAACAACATACACAAATGAATTTCTTTAATACCGCCCCTTATGCACCTAGAAACCTTTAATTATGAATTCTATGAATTATGAATTTTCCCTTTTTAGTTAATTTTAATTTTTAAATCCTCCTGGAATAATGATTAAATTATAAATTTTATTTATTGTAT